GCCCAGCGCGGGCGGGCAGCCAGCCAGCCAGCCCAGGCCCGACCTGTCAGGCGAAAAGGCGGCGACCACAGGCTAGGCTAGGCAGGTGTTGGTCTGGCGGCGGGCGGCCAGGGTGGGGCGAGCGGGTCGGCTGCCAGCGAAGCGGTCCGTCTGCTGGCCAACGGGAAGGCCCGCCCGTCTGACCGCCCGCTCGCCAATCTGGTGACCTGGAGGCCAGCGAGGGACACGCCACGCTCGCTCCTCTTCCTCATCTTCTCCCGCCACGACTGACCGAGCCAGAGGCAGGCGCTCGTTGGTCCTGACTCTGACCTCCCTTGCCGTCCGACCACAACAGCTGGCACTTGCTCTTCGGGTGTGCTAAAGCTGCTCTCTGTGAACAGGCCGCTCGCTGGCAGGCAGCAGATCGAGCGAGCCAACGAAGGAAGACTTCGGCAATCTTGTCGTATCGACGCCGGCGGATGGTAACGCGGGTCAGGCGAGCTTGGGGTCCATGTCTAGGTGCAAGGCGTACGAAGATGCTCACAGAGCGCAGCGTAATCTGACGACGACAGCAGCCGGCCTCGTTTGGCGTCGAGATGTGGGCGTGGCCGCCACGGTACCGCAGTGAATGGAAGCAGACGACCTAGCCAGCCGCCAAGCGTGGACGAACAGATCGTCGCACAGCGGCTCGTACACACATGTAGATACATAGATGTCGAAGCCAATAAGCAGGCACGACGGGACAAGCCACCAACTTGGCGCAACGTTCCGCAGGCAGGCACACCAGAAAGGTGGGCGGACAGTCGCGCAGGCACGCAGGCACGCAGGCACGCAGGCGGACAGATCCGCTGAGCAGCATGGGTTGTCGGAAGCGCGGGCGAAGACTGCGCCGCTCGGCCAGGCCCGGCCTCGCCACTCGCTCGCGTTGCATCGCTAGGCCACTGCAGGCACGGCCCGCAGTCGACGAGACAGATCCGCCGTCGTTCATTTGCTTCCACGCTCCCATGCTTCGTCATGAAGCATAGCGAGCAGGTGGCAACATTGGGCCGCTTACAGCAAGATGCCCTGTGATGTATACATGAAGCCAGTGAGGAGAACTGGTTTGGCTGCCCGACGGGGGAGCGCGGTGCGGCTACCGAGTTAGGCACGCATCCGCGCCGGCACCCAGCGTCGGATGGCCACCTCCTTGACGGCATAGCTACGACCTGCCTTGAGGTCGTCGACAAACTGTTGCGGCGACACGAGCGACTCGGGCGGATACCGCTTGACCGAGGGCACGAAGACGTGCGCCAGGATAAGGGTCTGTGAGCGAGATGGTAACGGCGCACAGAGGGGGGCAGAGTAGCGGTCGCGACGGTGGTCAGCTATTCGATGCTCTGCTTTGGCACAGATGCGCGACGTCGAATCGAGTCGATCGACTGACCTTGAGGACCTGGGTATTGACCCTGTTCATCGTGCTGAACCACGTCCAGGGCTTGGGTCCCAGGTTCGGGTGCGGCGGGAACGGGCTCGAGTGTTGGTCGTCTGGGTCCTCATACGAAGGGATGACCAGCACGGCGAACCTGCCAAGACGAGAGGGGAGAGCGGGGTCGCGAGACGACCGGATTCGGCGTCAGCCAGCAAGATCGTCGCCACGAAGCTCCGCAAACATCGGCCACCGGCCGCGACCTACTCACTCTGCGTGCGAGAAGACAGGCCCCCTCTTGTAGAGGAGGAAATCAGAGCAGAACTTGGTGCCCGTCTTGACGACCCAGCCGAGCGAGCGGAAGTGGTGGTAGGCGATGTAGTTGACCAGGAACGGGTTGTCGGGCCTGGCGTAGAGCCGGGCCAGGTGCTCGTCGGCGATGCCCTGATCCTTGAGCGAGAGCAGCGGCGGTGGGAGCGACGACTGCAGGCAGAGTGTGTAGATCTCGTCGATGGTGAGCGTGCGTGGCGCAGCGCCCGCCTCGTCGACCTTGACCTCGAGACAGCCCAGCATGCCGGCGAGGAAGAACGTCTCGTGGAGCGACAGCTGCATCCGCTCCATGTCGACCACGTCGATCTCGGCGTCCGGGTCCATCTGTACCAGCTCCTTGTTACGGGCGGCCTGCGCCTCGGCCTTCCTCGCTGCGTTGGCCTTGACCTCTTCGGAAAAGTACTTTAGGCCCTTGATCCTGGCCTGGCCGGGGACGATGTCGGGGATGTCTTCGTCGCCCTTCCACAAGGCCGGTGGAGCGACCGTGCTCTTGCCGGCCGAGACGGTACCGTCGGCTTCGTCGTCGTCGTCCATCTGGTCCTCGATCTGCTTTTCAATATCGGCCATGATGCGGTCGTGGCCGGCACCAGCAAGCCGGTCCTCTTCGAGGATCTCACCTCCGAGCGCTGTGATTCCATCGGGCAGCTGTTGGCCTGCCCGTACGGCGGCCCTTGCCCTCTCGATCTTGAGCGCCTTTCTCTCCTCTCTGCGCTGCGCGGTCAGCTGCTCGGCCGTGAGCACTGCGCGTCGCGAGCGGGATTTGCAAGGGGAAGGGGGAGAGACGGCCATGTCAGGTGCACGGTCGATCCAGTCGCGATGCTCGAGTGGCAGGCGCCCGGTGCAGCTGGCGACACTCACTTCCTTTCCTCATGGCATCGATCTCGCCGATCTTGCGCTGCCGCCAGGTGGGCTCGGAGCGCGAGAGATTGCCCTTGCCAAAGAAGCCGCGCTGCCACAGAACCTTGATGCCGCGGTCCATGTCCGTGACCCAGACGGTGTGCGTGTGTGGGTCGTAGAATGCGGTGGCCACATCGTCGTCCTGCTGGGCCGCCCGGGACGTCGAGGCTTGGCTGCTGCTGCTGGCGGTCGACGAGGGCCTTGTTTGATAGTAGCCTAGGCTCAGCAGCCACAGCAGGGACCCGAGCAGGTCTGCCGGAGTGGCGGGTACCTCTGGATCCGCGCTGGCGGGTCGAGAGTCGAGGGTGGTGGGCAGCGGCTTGGCATAGGTCTGGTTTTTGAGCGCCGTGGCCTTTTTGCCGGCGCCAGTAACTCTGGAGGGCGTGCCCTGGGCGCGTTCCGGGTTGTTGTAGGCCCAGCCAGTGCTGTTGCGCATCTGCTTGGGCATGTTTGTTGTCGTCCAGTCGGGGGGTGGCTGCGGCTGCGGCGGCGATGGGGGCGGCGACGAGTGTGTGCAAAGCGTGAGGTGTGAGGTCGAGGCCGAGGATGAAGGGTTGGGAGCGAGGAGGGGTCCAGCGAGAAAAAGGAGCCGCAAATGGCGAGGCAAAAGCCCAAAAGAGAGACCTCTGCTAGGCAGCCAGGCGCAGCGGGCTGCAAAGTGGAGAATTGCCGGCGGCGGCGTCTTTGTTTGTAAGCCTGACAAAAGCCAGAGCCTGATGTGGCAAAAGCCGGAGGCCCTCTGCACCCGCTAACTACTGGTTCGTTATCAACGAGTCCCGTCGGCGCGCGCAGGGGGAGCCACGGCTCGGGGTGACTGGCCCTTCAGTGGGTAACTAAGCAGCGGGCTGGACCACACACCCCCACGACGGCGGCGGCGGCGGCGATAGTTAACTAGCCTGCATCGTGTTCAAAGGGGACGACATCTGGCAGAGCTGCTGAGTGCAATCCGACGAGGCCGAGGATCAGCGCGCGGGTGAGAAGGTTGGATTTTGCCTCCACCCACGTCTTTGTCACACGCACCCTTTCCGACCCTCTGTCCACCATCTCGTGTCTCCCTCCCTCTCTCTCTCTGCGTCTCTGCCGCACGCCTACACCCACCTTCGGCCCTCTCAGACCACGAATATTGATCGAACAACGAACGTCACTTCGGCCACCTCTCATCGTAAGTGGCAGTGACCTGCAGACGCACATCCTGCTTGCCATCGCTGAAACCCCCCATGGCGGACCGTCTCCCATTCCTTTCCTAGGCCCAACCCCCGTCCTCGTGACAGTCTTCCACAATGCAGCCCGTCGTGCCCTCGAGAACGCAGATCCTGCGCCTGTATCGCAAGTATCTTACCACCGCCCAGTCCTTTGTAAGTCGCCCGCTCGGCAGCATCCTGGAGAACGCCGTGCCACGACATTGCGACCTGACCTTCCCCGCCTCGATTTGCCACCTCTTGCTTCGTGCCGGCCGTGCCCGCAGTCTTCGTACAACTTCCGCACCTACTTCCTGCGACGGAGCCGGGACATGTTCCGCTCAGCGCTCCTGCCGCAGGCGCAGGCGGCCCAGTCGTCGCCCTTCTCCAAGCAAGGTTCCGCCACCGCCAAGGTCTCGCCGTCGACGCTGCTTAGCCCCGATGCGATCTCGACAAACGGCAGCAACGCCAGCGGCAGCAACGGCAGCATCGCGGCGGCGGCCATGAGCGACCAGGAGAAGCTGGCCACCTTCTACAACACCGCCCTCGAGGACCTCAAGGTGCTCCAGAGGTCGGCCATCACCAACCGCCTCTACGAGGGCGAGAGGCTCGTCGTCGAGCAGCCCAAGCTCATCGTCGGCGGCGGGGGTGCGGGCGCAGAGGCCTCGGTCGGCGGAGGCGGGCAGCCCACCCAGGGCCCCCAGAGCCCCGGTGGCGCACCTCAGAGCGACTGAGCAGTTTCGGTCCATGCATCGACAGTCGCCTTGCGCGCTCCTATTCAATGTCAATAACCTGTTCCTCGGTCCCGGCTCGGTCACCGAAACCTTGTCATACGAGGCCTGTCCGACGGAGGAGGCCAGTGCTACGCCTCACACGGTCAAGCGGCGACACCTCGTCAAGCGGCCAAACCCGGGCTGGCCGAAAGATTGGCGAGAAATGGAGCGTGCTTTGGATGCGAGCGTCATCATAGTATTAGAGAGGGAACGCAGGCCGACTGGGCCTCGATGCCGGGCCGCTCATCCGTCTTTTGGATGCGACGCGGTGCGCTCGACTCGACTAGTATCCGCGGCCACGGCCCCTTCCACGAAAGCCGCGGGCTCGGTAGGGTCGGTAGCCTCGCCCCCTTCCCCGGCCGCGCGCAGCCATGCCGGGCAGGTTTGTCCGCTTCGCCGTGACCTGATGCCAGCCGTCGTTGAAACGAGGGGGATGGAAACGGGAAAGACCAGAGTCAGCAGGTGCGAGAGCTGCGAGGAGGGGGAGCGCGTCCATGGACGGACAGGAGAGGGAAACTCACCTTGATCAAGCGGCCGCGGAAGAGGGACTCGTTGAGGACCATGGCGTTGGCGACCAACGAAGGATCGGCGAATTCGACGTACGCATAGCTGGAAAGAAAAGGGCGGGGAGGAAGCGCGGTGGCATGGCGACGTTCGTCGGGTCAGCCGTCAGATGCGCGGATGCCGAGCGGGCGGGCGCTGATGGCGGTCGACTCACCCCTTGGGATGACCGGTGAACTTGTCGCAGAGGATCGTGACACGGTTGATTGTGCCGCAGCTCTGGAAGTGTTGCTGGATCTCTTCTGGTGTCGCGCCGTAGTCGACCTGGGTTGGTGAAGGGTGGAGAGGCGGAGAGGCGAGGGAAGAGGGTTCGGCCGTATGCGGTCAGCGGCGGCCAGGGTGCGCAGCAGGAGACGCTTGCCGGGGCAGGCGAGCCAGACGGAAAACACTCACGTTTCCGACGTAGACACTTCTGGAGTCGACCTCTTCCTTTTCCTCTTCGGTGGGGTGGATGCCTGCGCCCGCCGCGGCGCCGGCTGCCTCTTGCATCTCTCTGAGCTTTGCAGCCTCGGCCTCCATCTCTGCCACGCGCTTCTTCATGGCCTCGATCTCTGCCTCCTCGTCCATGGCCTCGCCATCTGCGCCGTCGGCCGCGGCCGAAGACGACTGGGCGACGTCATCGGTGGCGGCTGCTGCCGAGGAGCTCTGCGCGGCGTCGAACTCGGTCGAAGAGCCGGGGACAGACAGAGAGACCTGGTCCTCGTCGGCAGACATGGTATGGATCTGGTTGGTGGTGGGTGTGAGTGTGTTGTGAGTGTGCGGGAAGAGGGAAGGTGCGGACGGCGGACGGTGGGGGACTGCTCGTCTGACGCGTGGCGCTAGGTGCGGATGGGCGTGAGGGAGAAGACGCGGTTGGCGGTGGCGGAGTCGGCTGTGGTGGTGGTGGTGGTGGTGGTGGTGGTGGGTGTGATGGCCAGGCAAAGTCGGTTGGTGAGCGAGCCTGAGAAGAGGATGCATCTGGACGTCGCTGCTCGGCCTTTTTTCATCTTCTCCACCTGGAGGGACGGCGGTCCAGGCCAGGCCAGCCCGCAACGAAGCCCAAGCCCAGGCTAAGGCTCTGGCTTGGCTGGGACAAGGTCAGGCCAACGCAGGCTGGCTGGTTCACCCTGACGGGACAACGTCACGTGCCGCTCGCCCGGTCACGGGTAGGCCACGGGGCAGCCATCGCTCCGCCTCGAGGGTCTACACGCTTGCTTCTCGACCACATCCTTGGCCCTCGTCTCACCTCGCCTCTCTTCTCTGTCCCCGCGCTCGTTTCGGGATGAAGGCTGCGGACGCTACACCCGCAACAGCAACACTACTACTGGACGCCAGCATCACCGCGTCGCGCTAGTCTGCCTCTCCAAGGGCCCTGGTGGATGCAGCACCGCCCACCGTTGTCCAACGCGTCACGTCCGACGATCCAGGCTCCATCGCTCTTTGCCTCGCCCAGCGCGACATCCACGCCAAACGACACCGACATCGACGACAACTTCATGACGCACACCACGACCTAGCCGCACTACTACCGTCGCAGCTACGCACCAAGCAGGCTCGTTTGCCTGCCTGCCCGCACGGCCGCCCGCCGGCACCCTAGCGCGGCCGCCATGGTCGGCTCAAAGCGCGGCGCACCGTCGGCCTCGACCTATGCCGCATCGCACCTGTCGCTCTCGGTGCTCGCGCTCCTCTCGTCGGCCGGCTTCTCCAAATCGTCGTCGACCGCCGCCCACCTGCTCACCGAGGTGCTGCAGCGCTACATTCAGCTCCTCGGCACCACCTGCGTCCAGCATGCCAACCACAGCGGACGCAACGTCGTCGCACCGCTCGACCTGAGCGCCGCACTCGAGCACATCCTCGGCGGTGGCGACCCTATTGAAGAGGTCCTTCAGTGGGCCGAGGACGAAGGCAGGCTTGACTTTGACCCGCACCACGGCTACGACGTCGAGGCAGAGAGACAACAACAGCAGCTACAGCAGCAGCTCGCCAACGGCAGCACTTCCAGAACCAACGGCCAGCCAGCGTCACACCCGGTCCCGACATCCTCAGAATCCCGAGACCCGCTGCGGGATCCACTGAGGGGGTCGGACCTGAGGAAGCGGCTCTCGGTCGGCAGGCCCCAGCCAGTCGCAGATCCAGCGGCCGAGGTGCACTACAGGCCCATTCCTCCCGAACAATTCGAGGTGTTGGCAGAGCAGAGCTACCGGCGAGAGAAACGCATCCAAGAGCTTGTCTGGGACGGCATCGACTCCGCAGAATGGTGCCAGGACAACGTCCGTGCCTCGGTCAAGGCAGGCAAGCGCAAGGCTGAAGATTCAGACGCCATGGACGTCGACGGAGACGTCCACGATGCGGCGGCGGCGGCGGCGGCAGTACGACACCGATCGCGCTCCGGCTCACCTATGGCAAGCAGCGAGGAGAAGAGATTGGCGGGGACTGACGACTACGGCGACGACAGCGACAGCCGCACCGACGGCTATCTGAGCAGCGGGGCTGGGAGCAGCAACAGCCGCGGTCGCCGCAGATCATCGTCGCTCCGGCCGCAAGGCGGTGTCAACGGGACAGCATCGAGATCGACATCGCGCCATCGACACTGGCAGCAGCATCAACAAGGGCGGCGGCACCGCTCCGCCAGTGGTCGCGATGCGGAAATACCGTCTCTCGACGCAGCCGGCGAAGGTGTCGTGCGCCGTTTCGGCGAGCTGGAGATCGACTATGTGCCGAGCTATCTGCCCGCCTTTCCGCAGGTCGAGGCACCCTCAGCTGCTGCACCGAGCCGAGGCTTGCGCGGCGATGGGACAGCAGCAGCACCATCCCCAAGCCTCATTGCCACTGGTTGGGGCACGGATCAAGGCGGGTTGGCAGGGAGTGGGACCTCGGCGAGTCTTGCACCGCCGCCGCCGTCGCTCCCGCCGCCGCAGGACACCGACCTCGAATACATCGAGCAGGAGCGGCAACGCGCCGAAGCGGCGCAGCAGGCGACGCTCGCAGCGACCCACGCCGCGGCTGCCGCCCGCGCAGTCGAGACGCAAGGTGAGGGGGCCGAGCCAGCAGTGCAGACCAAGCCCGAGCCGACGGACGAGCAAAAGGCGGCCGAGGCGGAAAAGGCGCTCGAGGCGCTCCAGTCGCGGCGGGTGCTGCGCGACTGCTGGAGAGAGGCCATCCCATTCGATTCATCGACGCTCGGTGTCGCCCACCCGCAGCACGAGCTCGGCGACTTGGAAAAGGCCGTCGCCGAGATGGCCTCTGCGTCGGCGCAGGACGACATCATCTCGATTGCGCCGCCGACGTCGTCGCTGCGGGCGTTTGCGGCCGACTTCAAGTCGCTCCTCGACGACCCGTCGACCTCGGGCGCGGCGGGCATCTTCCTGACGCCGTACGGCGCAGCACACCAGGACGCCGCCTCGAAACGGCGCCGGCTCGCCTACGGCATTGCCGACCCGGCGCGCTACGTGCCCAACGACAGCCTGTATGGCGCTGTCGGTGCGCGGCCGGTCGTGGTGCCCTTCCAGCCTGGGCCGAGCTGGCTCGTCTCGACGCTACCGCCGCCGACGTTGTACGAGGACAATGCGGCGGTGGCCTCTGCGCTGTCGGCGCCCATCCTCACGCCCGTGCTGCCGCAGGGTCGACCGTCTGCGCTCATCCCTCCGTCGGGTAGCCTGGTGCCGCCGCTGGCCTACCGCCACCCCGCCCACCTCGCCATGGCGGCGCGCATCGTGTCAAACGGGGAGCTGCTGCGGCGCATCTCTCGCTTCGACGACCCGCCGCCGCTGCTCGACGACAAGCACGCCGAGCGCTTCTTCCACGGCCTGCCCGCCTCGCGCGACCTGGTGGGCGGTTCGAGCTCCTCGAGCGATCTCAGCTCCAACATTTCCAAGTCGCGCAACGGCGGCGGCGGCAGCGGTAGCGGCAACACGACGCTGCACGCCGCGCTCGAGAAGCTCGTGCTGCAGCTCAAGGACAAGGAGGCCGTGGTGCTGCCGGAAGAGGACAAGGAGGAGCTGCAGCGGCGACAGCAGGAGCTCCAGCTGCAGATGCAGGCGGCCGAGTCGGCGGGCGGAGACGGCGCCGCCGAGGGCAGGGCAAAGGGCGAAGGCGTGGCGGGAATGGTGGGGGACAGCTACGCCAGTCGCATCCGAAACGGCCAGATCACCATGGTGCACACCTGGGACTGGACGGTCAAGGATCCGTTTGACCCTACCCTGCCAGGCCGTAGGGTACGCGGCGGCGATGGGTCAAGCAAGTTTGCCTCTGCGACGGCTCCCGTGGCCATTGAGAGGGAAAAGGGCAAGAAGAAGCGCGAGAGCAGCGCCAATGGCCTCGTTGTCGGAGCAGCTGGCGGCGGGAGCAGCGGCGGGGCCGAGTGGAGCTCGGAAAGTCAGAATGGAGCTGCATGAGGCGGACGCAGTCGGTCGGTCGTTCGGGGGCGTCCGGTGGTCAAAGCGATGCGCCGCGCGGTTGTTTGCCGGCAGACAATGATGGATGTCGATGCTGGGTTCCGGAAAGCATGCCATGAATTGAAACTGCATCGTACGCAGCACGCCGTTGTCGTCGTCCGCCGGTGGAAGGAGCGGGGGCCTAGACCGTCTTGATGCGCAGGCCACGTACGACTGGCCAGCCCCGCTCGCAGAAGCCTCGGAGGTTCCACGCGCTAACGCGCTCCTGCTCGACGCCGGCTGCCGTCACTGCGAGAAGGATCCGTGCAACGTCGACGAGATAATGCCGCCGAAGGCAGAAGACGGAAGCCTTAGCGGGGGGAAAACGACAAGACGCCTCCTCTCGTTCGTATGCGAGCAACCGTCATCGGGGGACTCACCAGACTTTGCGACGATGGCCCACTTGTGCTCCGCTGCACCTTGGGGGAGCGGCAGATAGATGGACCAGAGACACCATGCCCAGCTCCACTCGCGATGTCGTCGCCGCGCCTCACCCTCGCCCACGTCGTCTGCCGAGGCTGGGCTGACGTGGCCGCAAGCTTCGAGACGCCTGCGCGATTCTTGCGCTGCTGTCGCGGCTGGCTCGAAGCTGAGTTGCGCCTGATGCCATTCGATGTCCGGTGGGAGCTGCTCGACGAAGAGGTGCGAGGCCAGCGACGGGTCCAGATCGCGGAGGAGAGCTACGTGGACGGATGCGGTGGGCGAACCTGCCGTAGAGTGGGGGACCGTGCGGGGCGAGCCTCGGCGTCAGCGCATCGATCGAACGTTTTGCATAGAGTTGAACATCGACTCACCGTCCTGACCGACTGCATATCCCTTGACAGAGATGCTCCCATTGCGAGCCTCGACGTCTTGGTCGTCGGCCGGCTGGGTAATGGCTGAGCTGGCGCCGAGCCTCTGTAGCGGTTTCTGCCTTTGGAGCTCCTGCTTGCGGAACTGCTCGTCGTGCTGCACCCTTTCCAGCCACTCGCGCTTCTTTTGCTCATCTTCGCTGTCGCCGCCGCCTGGTTTCGGCGGGGTGAGGATCTTGTAGTCGAGGCGCATGGGCGGGCTCTGGTTTTCGTGTTGGCTGATGGTGAGGCCAGAGAGCCACTTTACCCAGCGTGCGCCTGCATGTCCTGGGATGACGGCGCGGAGGGGGAAGCCATGCGAGGGCAGGAGGGGCTGGCCGTTGTGGGCGTAGGCGAGGATGCAGTCCTGGTTGGGGTGCATGGCGGTGGGCAGCGGGATGGAAGCGGCAAAGACTTCGTGGCGGTTGGGATCGTCGGACTCGGTGGATTGCTGCGTGCTGTGCATGTGCAGGTGCAGGCCCCTGGCCCACTCGGCGGCGTCCTGAATGGTGTGGTGTTCGGATGGCACGAGATTGTCGAGGGACTTGGCGGGGTGGTGTGCGTAGGGGTCCGGTAGGCCTGCGTGGAGGAGGGCGTCTCGGATGGAGGTGCCTGACCAGACGACGTTTGCGATTACGCCGCTGCCCCACTGGATGCCCTGCGCCTTGTCCTGGTGCCTGAATTCGCCGCGACGGTTTCCGGCACATTCGAGGGTAGCCACGACGTGGCGTGTGGGGAGAGAGCGCTTTATCTGGGAGAGGAGGAGCTTTTGTCCCTGGAAGGTGGCGAGTGGCTGGGCGCCGCGGAGCGATGGGGAGAGGGAGAGAGAGACGGGCCAGTCGGGCGACGATGACGACTGTGCCGGGCCCGGGTAGACGAGGTCGTCGTGGTTGCGATGAAAGAGGAGGTGTGTGGGAGTGATGAGGTGCGAGGTGAGAGAGGCTGACTCGGGCTCTGCGTTTAGGGGCTGGCGTGGGCGGGGGGAGCAAGAGTCAGTCACGGTGTCGATGCGGGGGGGTGGATCCAACCTATGGGCTGCTGCAGCATTCTCTTACCTGCGTCTGGAATACGTGGAAGTGTGAGTCTTTGGGATTGCCCTGCGTGTCGAGGCTTGGGTCCGACATGGTGAAGCTGCGAGATTGTCGAGAGGAAGGGATGATGGTGGTGGCGGTAGTGAGTGGTGGACGACGAAGAGACGTCGGCGGTGGTGGTGGGGGCCAGGGCCCAAGGTAGTGGAGGCATGGGCCGCCATGTCGGAAGTCGGAAGTCGGAAGTCGGAGGTGCGGGCAGGCGCGCGGGGTACGGGCCGGCAAGCAAGCAGGCAGGCGGGCAGGCAGGCAGGCGAGGGCTTCCATGCATCGTCTGGGCGGGAGCGAGGTTGTGGGCCCTGCCCTCGCCTGAGCCTCCTGGCTGCCTGCAGCTCGCCCTGGCGCGTGGCGTGAGGCACGACCGAGGGCGAGGGCCGGGGGCCGTGCGGGTGGGTTGGACCCCGTTCAAGGCCCTCTGTCCAGAGGCCAGGCTAGGGGACCAGCAGGCCGGGTAAGGGTGCCCCCTTTGTCGACCTCCCCGCCGGCCCGCCTCCAGCTTGGCTTGATTGCTTGTCCTCCTCGTCCGCCTCCTGCTCCCACATGCACCCGACCTAGCCTGCCTCTGGTCTCGTTACGGCTGTGCCATCTGGCCCGACTCTTGCGCTGCTGCCGCCCCCCATCAGGCCATCATCAATAACGTTGCACCACCACCACCACCACCACCACCACCACCTCAGCGCCACCTCGACCGTCTCCTCCACCACCACCACCCAGCATGGCTATCAAACCCAAACGTCCCCAGATCGGCAAGATCAAGCAATGGTCGTCGGGCCTCGGAGCGAAGCTCTCGGCCGCCGCGGGGGGCGCACCGATCGATCCCACCCTCAAGCAAGACCTCTACGGAGAGATTGAGCTGCGCGGCATCGCCAACTCGAATCTCTACGCCGCAACAGAGCACTACTGGAGCTCCCTCGCAAAAAAGAAGCCCATCCCCTTTGACCCAACCTCGCTCCCCGCCGCCGCAGAGGACTCGGCCTCGATCTCGTCGGGCGCGCTCGCCCAGAAGCACGACTCGAAGCTGCTCCCCATCGAGTCCATCGGCATCGCAATGTCGTCCTACGGCGCACAGTTCCCCGACTCGTCCGCCTACGGCACCGCCCTCTCGAGCCTCGGCGAGGCCCACGTACAGCTCGGCTCCCTCCAGGCCGCCTTTGCAAAGGACACGTCCAACATCTTCCTCGCCAGGATCGCGAGGTCCAAGACCGCCATCGAGTCATTCCACGCCGCCATGAAGAAGCTCGAAGCAGCAACCACAAAGCTCGACGCAGCACAGGCAAAGGTGCAGAAGAGCAAAAAGGAAAAGCGCGACCTCGAAGAGGAGCTCCGCCTCGCAAAGGCAGCCTACGACGAGGCCGTGTCCGACGTCGAGGCGCGCGCAGAGGCCATCCAACAATCCGAGCACGACGACCTCGACTGCCTCGAAACCTACATCCAGACACACATCGACTACCTCGCCCAGGCACAGGCCGTCCTCGACCGCGCAAGAACCTCTGCCTCGACCTCGGGCTCGTCGTTTGCCAGCGTCGGCGGCTCCGCATCTCGACGCCCGCCGCCCGCACCTCTAAGTCGACCTCAGAGCGCCGGAGGCTCTCGACCGGCCCCCCCGGCGCTGCCTCGACGCACGTCGGCCCGCGAGCCCATGGAGCTCAACCTAAAGCGCACCAGCTCGCGCGTCACGACCGGCTCGACGGTCAGCCTGACGCCTAGCGAAATACGCCGGGTCCGAGAGGGACTTGGCAATGACAGCCGGGACCCCGCCGCCACTCCCGGCAACGACGACGACAACGATGGCGACGATGGCGACGGCCAGTCGACGGCCAAGCGCGGCGACAAGGAGAAAAAGGCGGGCCGGCTACGCATGCCCTCGTTCAGCGCCGCCAGCGGCACCGTCAGCTCCATGGCCTCGGGCATTGGCGGTACGTTTAGCCGCTCCAAGAGCTCCACCCTCTTTGGCGGCGCCTCTGGCAGCAGCCAATCGCATAGCCCGGACAAGGAAATGGGCGAGGGCGGGCCGTCGAAGTGGAGCAGCTTCATGACCCGCGGCCGCAAGGAGTCGGGTTTCCAGGACCTCGACCGCGACGACGCCCGCCGGGCGAGCCTGCGCCGCGAGGCTGACCAGGTGCACAACAAGGTCGGCTCCGAGGACGTCGACCTCGGGCTGGGCGAGGCCGACGTGGGCGACGTGCTGTCGTCGCGACGGTCCTCGACGCTCAGGCCCAGCTTCCCTCGCCGCGACTCGAGGCGCGACAGCCTGGGCGCCGACGACGACGAATCCCCCTTTTCGCCCGCGTCGCACGGTAGGGGCCCGTT